TGCTTCTTTGATGGTGGCGGGAAACTGGGGAGGAGTGGACGAACCTCCGTTCATCGATCCCCTCCATGTTCTATGGGACCGGGAGCGATGCAGATTGCATCAATTCCAGTCCCATAGATGTCAATGATGGGCTCCTGAAGCACAGCTATAAGCTATTGAAGTGCAATCTGCACTTCAATAGCTTATTTGGAGTGTAAAGGTGACACGGGGGTCTTTTGGACCCCGGCATCACCTTAAAGAGTACCTGTCACCACAATCTGCACTTACAAGCCCCCACATGGGGGACTTGTAAGCTCCCCTATGTGATAGCAATTACAGTAAAGTAAAAAAACAAAACAGTTTTTAGAATCAACATTAAATTAAAAAAATGTAAAAATAATGTAAAAATCTGTTTAAAGTCCCCCGCGAGCACGCGTGTCTTCACGTAAACACGCGTCGGGTGCGCCCACATATGAAAACGATGAACACGCTACACATGTTGGGTATCGCTGCACACACCGGAGTGAGAGCAATCATTATAGGGCCAGTATTTTTTGGTATCTCTAAACTGATGACCTGTGGGGGCTTTTAAAGCGTAGTCTATGGTCTTTTGGGGTACTGAAATTTGTCGCTGCTTCACGGACGTACACATTTTGTAACCTGGGCATGTTGGGTATCTATTTACTCATTGTAATCTCATCTTTTATATTTTATAAAATAAATGGGTATTGTATTGTGTTTTGGGGCCTTTAAGTACATATTTCCCTAAATTTTGGGGTTTGATAAGGAGTTGCGCTAATATCGCGCAACAAAAAAATTTGCAACTGCCACCATTTTATTTTATAGGGTCTCGGCTTTCAGAAAATATATAATGTTTAGGGGTTTTAAGTAATTTTCAGGCCTAATATGTGGAATATAACATGGGTACAAAAAATGAAAAAAAAAAAAAAGGCCTCAGTCATGAAGGGGTTAATTATTTATCCAACACTACTGAACTGTCTTCCTATTTTCCAGGCATCACTGCTCTCTACTCTGGACTGAAGCCTACCTTAATCCGAGCTTTTCCAGCCAATGGAGCTCTTTTTGTAGCATATGAATACAGCAGGAAAATGATGATGCAGCAATTAGAAGCTTAACTTTCTTGGCATCTCTTTGAGATCATTGACATGACTGAAGAAGTGAAAGATTCTGCAGGAGATTCTCAGTGTTACATTCTAAATGCCATGCACGGCGCTGCCAGTATTAAGAAACTTTCTGAAGTTGACACGAATGGTTTATACATAGGACAATTTACATTAGTGGAACCATCCTGTCCTTGCAGATGTCTATTGTATGTAATTACAAGAATATGATAGTATTTTGTAATAAACCTTTCCTTTACATACATTGAATATTGTCAGGAAGACTGTTATGCACTCTGCTGGGAATTTGTTTGGATCTATATTATGACTTCAATACCATAAAACTATTCTTAATACACCCCAACCCCCCCAAAATGACATGAAAAATGAGTTCAGAGTTTAGTGGCAAATTAACTCTGCAATCCATGAATGTAGCCTAAAGATGGCCATACACGAGAACAGCCTCTCTCAACCAGGGTGAAGTGGCACTATGGGGAGCCTTCAGGCTTTGTCAGGGGCACCTTCAAATCTTCGCTAAATGGGAACCCTGATGTAAAGGGGAGGGCTCCTGAAGCGAGTGGAACATTTTTGATGTAAAGGGGGGTTCTCATGTAAAAGATTAAGAGATAATATGAAGGTTTTAGTGCAGAATAACACTTTGGTGGTTCAATAGAACCTTTCCATAGATACTGTATCTGTACATCAGACCAAAAAGAAGGACAACCGAGGAGGAAAGAGGGACAGAGGGATTTGGTTTCCAATGAGGGACAGTTGGGAGGTATGTCTATATGTAACTATATACAGTATGCAACTATATCCAACTGTTAAGAAAAAGGGTTGAGGGTTCCTTGGCATGTGGACTATGATTGACAGCCTAGCTTCTGTAAGCTATGGAAGAGACAAGATGGCGGTGCAGAGCAGACCAGAGCAGCATCACTGACCAAACACCGGTGAATTGTTTAGAAGCCAAATAGTTTATACTCTTAAACATTATCAAGGGACAGGTTATGGCAGGCTATGTATGAAGTACCCCACCATTCTCCTTCATGTCCCTCAAGGTCTGATCGGTTATTGGAGGCAACATAGGAGCCACCAAGATAACACAAGACCTTCAGTAAATCCTTATTCTCCAATCATGGGGGTTATCAAGACCACAATCACTTTCCCACTCTCCAGTCTTTGCTCAGGGATTAAAGCTGATGTGACTTTCTATAGACTGGAAGTACAGCTAGGACTTGTAGACTTGCAGAACCATCTTGTTTTCCATTCATTGTTCTCCTGAAGGTTCAGATACTCAACTCAGCTAACAGAATGATGAAGGTAAACAAGTGACTTCTGAGGGATTGCTGAATCAGAACATTTTGCCAGCCAAAAGCTAATTCCAAAGTCCAGTTTGGCGACGTGGTGAAAAGTTCACAATCTGGTGTCTTCATCGTCTCTCGGCCTCGTGATCATTATTTTACTGTTTAAACAGATCTGAATTTCGGAAGTCAGGTTGACCTATAGGATTGGTGGAGTTACATTCTGTGATAAATAGAAAGGAACAAGCCATAGGTCGCTGTAACGCGTGTTACTAAAAATAGTGCTGGAACTACTTTTTACTACTGCGCTGCCACCAGCGTGCTAGAAACCAACAATGTGGTGGTGGGGGATGACAAATTCCTCACTCTCGACACAAATTACTCCAACGTGACATTTTTATTTATTTACCGCCAGTTTCCTTTATGTCCGAAATGACCGTATTTCTTTGTGAAATTGTCGCAGTGATTACTACATTATGTAAAAGTGTCACTTTTAACAGCTACCTGAATTTGACGTGCATGTCGGTAATAGCATTAACTTTTTTAATATGGCACAGGGCATTCTAAGCCGCCATTTGTAGCAGAAAAGTGTCAGGAATGTTATATTGAATTGCCTGCAATGTGAGGGCCACATTGGTGATGTCTTAAAGCAGGGGCAGGCAGGGCCGGCGCAAGGATTTTTGCCAACTCAGACGAAGGTGCATTTTGCTGCCCCCCCCCGACCATGAAAAACATTGACAACGTTTTCCATTGTCGATTTTAATTGACTAATTGTTGCAGCTCTATATTATTGCTGGGATTTGTTGTTCCTCTATAGCTGCTGGTATTCTCCATTGCGCTGTATAATGTATTATTGCTGGGATTTGTAGTTCCTCTATAACTGGTCAGTGGTAATCTGCATTGCGCAGTATAATCATTATACAGCGCAATGGAGAATACCACCAGCTATAGAGGACTACAAATCCCAGCAATAATATATTAACCAGCCTGTATAATGTATTATTGCTGGGATTTGTTGTTCCTCTTTAGCTGCTGGTATTCAGCATTGTGCCGCTGTATTATACAATGCCCAATACAATACACAATACAATATACAATGCACAATACAATACACAATACAATATACAATGCACAATACAATACAAAATAATACAATACAATGCAGCATACCACGTGCACTTTGTCTTTGTTACATTACATACTGCTCCCACTTCAGCCAGCTCCCGATCCCGATTCCCGATACGAGTCCTCCGATGTGTGTGGTCTGGGGTGGGTCACCATGAGAGGGTGAACCGAACACGCCTCCTCGCTCGGTTCCAACTTCCAAATGTGTGCACAGGGCGGCTCCCGAGTCCCTCAACAGGTCGCCGTCGCCTCCAGGATGACGCCGCACTGCCTGCTGGTCCGGTCCGTCCGTTGCTCCGCCTCCTGGCTGCAGCCTTCGCTCCTTCACATGCGGCTGAGCGGCCAGGGGAACCAGGGGCGGGGCCACTTACGTCACTCACTGACGTAGGAGGACGTAGCCAAGTCACTGAGGAGACTGCATAGGTCAGCGCCGCTGCGGCCGGCAGGGACTCGTACTTCAGATGCTGCCCGCAGCGGCAGCCCACACGCTGGTCTCGATTGGGCGACTGTCACTATCAATTTTCCGCCCTGTTCTCTGGCGCCGTAAGGCAAGTGCCCATGTTGCCTTGCGCTAGCGCCGGCCCTGGGGGCAGGCAAACTTCAGCCATACAGCTGTGGTGAAACCACAAATCCTATCATGCATCTGCCTCTGGGAGTCATGCCTGTGGCTCTCAGAATCTTGCAATGCCTCATGGTACTCGTAGTTCCACAACTTCTGAAGAGCCACACTTTGGTTACCCCTAATGTAAAGCGTCTCCCATTTGCATCAAAACAAATTGGGATTTAGGACCTACTGCAAATACCACCAACCGAGATCTGCTGAAGACTGGCCAACTGAAGACCAAGACTGGCCAACTGAAGGCCAAGAAAGCCAACGAGCTGGGAGACGGGCGACTCTGGATTTATTTGGGAGCCAATATTTATGTGTGTCTGCTGTTATACATATGTGATAGTAAGAGTGTTACAAATGCAGCAGCAGCTAGATATGGGACAACATTGTTTAGACCAGGGGTGCCCATTAGGTAGATCGTGATCTACCAGTAGCTCTAAAAGCTGATGCTGGTAGATCACGAAGGGTGTGAATGGTATCTCTTAATTAAACTGAAGACATTCAGGGTAAAGTAGAAAATGATCTCACAGCAAGGTAACAGAAAATGTACAGATTGTGAATTTAACCTAGAACAGGGGTGCCCATTAGGTAGATCGTGATCTACCAGTAGCTCTCAAAGCTGATGCTGGTAGATCACGAAGGGTATATTTATTTAGCTGTGCACACATTATTACCTATTAGCCTGAGTCTGGTGAGCCAAGCTCCCTGACACCTTTCTGGTGGATACTGGTGGTTGAAGTGCTATGTATTACATCAAAGAATATTAGTTTACACAGCCTGTTGCACTGCACTGTTTGCAAAATACAGCAAGGTGAGCCAGGAGAGAGAGCGCGAGTAGAGACAGCCAGGGGAGAGAGAAAGGAGAGACAGCCAGGGGAGAGAGCAAGGAGAGACAGCCAAGAGAGACAGTCAGGAGAGAGCAAGGAGAGACAGCCAGGAATGACAGACAGGAGAGAGAGAGCGAGGGAGGTCTTTTTTCCATTGGTAGATCTCATGTAGCTCTTCATTTGAAAAGTAGATCTTAACACAAAAAATTGTGGGCACCCCTGGTTTAGAGCTATTTTATTTTTACAAAGTAACTATTGTTCTTTCCCGGAGTTCAGGTTTTTCACCAGAGGTGTCCCTACACTATTGGTGCCTGAGGCCAGGGGGAGGTAAGGGGGTGGTGGTGCACGTTACCGGGGGGATAGGGGTTGTTGAAGGGGAGTCCTGGAGGTGTGCAGTGGAATAGTTTGTGGTAATGGTGATGTACGGTACCTCTGGCTCTGTCCCACTGAGCTCACTGGGGTCGCTGTTTGCCGGGAGCTGAGTGGGACGCGGGCCAGAGCGTCCCAGGTTGCTAAGATCTCTTGGCAACCTGGGACGCTCTAACCGGCAGGGGTGCCCCTCCCCCCCACGTGACCTAATGAGATGCATAGGGAAATGACCTGATAGGGCTAACCCTGTTGATCACTCTTTTATAAGATCCTCCGATGGACCCCAATCCTCCCACTATAGCATGCAAAATAAAGAAAATATGTTCATAATGCAGAATATTGGTCATTATAATCCTAGGCTGGGTCTTGTTCAGCAGTGATTGTTGTTGGACTGCCAGAGAGATTAATTCTGATCACCAGCAGATCTACACGTCACCTAATGGCTGATGGGATGCAGTTCACATCTAGGTGGATGCCGGGGATGCCATGCTTCGTGTACCTATCTGGTGGTCCACGGCTTTGTCCCTATAGAGCTGGGGTAGCCAAACTCCGGCCCTCCAGCTGTGGTGGAACTACAATTCTCTCAGCCACAGACAATCAGACATGACTCTCGGAGAGATGCATCATGGGAATTGTAGTTTCATCCCAGCTGGAGGGCAGGAGTTTGGCTACCTTTGCGAGCGCTGATCTATGGGCACTGCAGGAACTGAGACACAATGGTACACACAATGCAGGCATCCCCGCACGTCTCTCTCAGTGGCAGCGATCTGCTTTATATTGTGTCACACTGCCAGGACACACACCAGCTCTGATCATACACTGAGTCCTATCCCCTCCCCGCCGCACCCCGCCCCCTCTAATGTCACAGCCATATACATATATAAAGACAGCGCTCCTCCAGCGTATCATGTATAGATGACTTCTATA